CTGCCCCACTTGGCCCACCCTGCCGCTGTGGTTCAGAGAAGTGGAATTGTTAAATACATCTGGCTTTCTCACCGTCATCTCGAGACTCGTGCAGGTTCTTTCGCGTGTCCCGCCACCTGTCGGGGGGCCTCTGGGTGTGTCTGGGTCTGGGCTGCTCCTGGGGATGCCACCTCAAGCCTGTGCCCATGAGCCTCTTGGTCACAGCCTCCCACTTCTCTCCGTAAGCTCCTGGAAGGGGGAGCTGGGGTCACCGGGGAGGTTCTTGCTTGCCTGGCTGAGAACCTCCAACCGGTCCTCCAAAGCAGATGCCTCCCTGCAACCTCCCGCAGCCGCCCCCACGCCCACCCTGCCACCCCCGCCCCAGCGCAGGACCGGCTCCCACCTGCTCGCCAGAGCCCGCCAGAGCCCGTCCTTGTAATTACGGCTCTCTCTGACGAGGGCGAGCTGTGGCCCTGATTTCCCGGGACTCGCTGCCTCATTTTCCATCTGTATGTTTCAGGGAAGTGACTGTTCGGTTTTTGCCCATTTTTAAATTGGGATGTTTTTTTCCTCCTCATTTGAGCTTTGGGAGTTATTTTTACATTCTGGCCGTGAGCCCTCTCTCAGATCGGTGGCTTGCAAATATTCCCCCCCATCTGTGTGCTTGTCTTTTCCTTCTCTCCGCCGTGTCTTCTGAAGAGCTGAAGCCGCAGATTTTAATTTTGGCGGCATCTAATTGATCAATTTGTTCTTTTCCAGATCGCACTTTTGGCGCTGCGTCTAGAAGTCTTTGACCGACGACGTTCGCAAAGACCTCCTCTGTAGTTTCTTCTAGAGGTTTCTAATTTCGTGCATACACCTAGATCTGATGCATTTTAATTTCTGTGTACCATGCAAGCCATGAACGGATTTTATTTTTTGGCAGATGAGTAGCCAATTGTCACTGGCTACCAACCAGCATTGAGAAGACTGTCCTTCTGGACTCCACTGGACACCTTGAAGCATTACTTGAAATCACTTGTTGCAAATAGGGGTCGACTTCCACACTCTGTGTTCTGTCTTCAGACCTATTTTTCTCTCCTGATGTCAACTCCACACCATCTAGTTGCAGAAGCTTTGTAACGCGTCTAGAGCCCACGGACAGGGGCTCCTCCAATTTTTTTCTTCTTCTCAAAGTTCTTTGTTTCCCTGTAGGTCCTTTGTGTTGCCACAATCACCATAAATTCTGTAACCACTGTGGCAAGTTCTACTAAGGAAAGAAGCTCCTGAGATTCAGATGGCTGGCGCCCTGTGTCTAGAGACCAATTTAGGAAGAGCTGTCACCTTACCAACATAGGGATTTTGGCCTGTTGACAAGACATGGATCTCAATTACTTTGACTTTACTTTGTATCAGCAGCACACTGCATTTTTTACTGCAGGAGTCTTGCACACTTTTCCTCTGATACGTTCCTAAAGATTTTATATTTCCATATATATTTTTAATGTTTTTTTCCAATATTTCGGTTGTTAATTGCTACAATATAGAAATGTAATCGATTTTAACAGCTCTATTAAGATACAATTGAGCACTGGGTGTTATGCTATATGTTGGCAAATTGAACTCCAATAAAAAATATACAAAAAAAAGATACAATTCACATAGCACACAATTCACCTGCTGATGGTGTGCAATTCAATGGTTTGAGCATGTTCACAGGTAGAACTGTCCACATCATCTCACCATCTCATGGTGCAATTCTAGAACATTCTCGTCACCCAGGAATAAGCTCCATACTGCTTAGCCAGTGCTCCCCATTCCTCTCACCGGACAACTCCAATGGCTAAGCAACTACAAATCTACTTCCGGTGCCTATGCACCTGCAGACTCTGGACACTCAGTGGGAGTGGACTCTCACACATGTGGTCGTCTGTGTCTGGCATCTTTCACTATGCACGATGTCTTCAAAGTCCACCCACATTGTGACCCTCAGGTGTCAGAGGTTCACTCCTCTAGTGGCTCGGTAATATTCCACTGTGTGGATAAAGCACATTTTGGTAACGTGCTCATCAGCAGATGGACATTTGGGCAGTTCCCACTGTTTGGTTGTTAGGAACAATGCCTCTGTGAACACCATGTACTGGTCCTTGCCGGTCACTGGACTGTCACTGCCAGGATCCCATGTAACATTCGAGGTGACTATGAAACTGGTTTCCAGAGTCCCCACATCATTTTATACTCCCACAAACAATACACAAGGGTCCCCGTTTTGCCACGTCTCCGACAACACTTACTGGATTCCCATCTGCTGAAACTTGTGCGTCTATGTCTCTGAGGAATACTGGTTTGTGGTCCAACTGCTCTTGTTAAAAGGGTAATGCTGACTCCCAGGACTGCTCTTGATTCTCCTGGGAGAGACTGTGCAGAGGCTACACGATGCCTGTACTGAAGGTGTGGTGAAATCTGCCCATGAAAACATTTTGTCAGGACACTCGTAGCTACAAACTTCATTTCCTGAACAGACATCAGGCCACTTGGTTGATCTATTTCTTCTGTGGAAAGTGTTGGTGGGTCTTGCATCTTTCAGGAAATTGTCAATGACATAGAAATTGTCAATTTTTTAAAAGAATTTATTTATTAATGAGAGACACAGAGAGAGAGAGAGAGGCAGAGACACAGGCAGAGGGAGAAGCAGGCTCCATGCAGGGAGCCCGACGTGGGACTCGATCCCAGAACCCCAGGATCACACCCTAAGCCGAAGGCAGATGCTCAACTGCCGAGCCACCCAGGCATTCCAAAATTGTCAAATTTATTGACATGAAGTTGTTCATAAGATTCCCTTGTTACCCTCTCCAGTATCTGTAGCATCTATAGTGCTGCCATCACGTACTCCTGATTCTCTCTCTCTTTCCTTCATTGATTAGATGGGGAAGGGATGCCTCAGTTTTGGTGAGTCTCTCAAATTCCATGTGATGAGGAATCATGGTGGAGCCCAGTGCAGGTTGGGTTAGCCCTCCCCAGACCCTGGAGAACAGAGCCTGAAGGGGCAGCTGGCTGGCTGCTGTCCTGTATGCAGTGTTACGTGCTCTGCAAAATCCACTTCATGTGTTGGTATTATTGTCCCGAGGATCATCTCCCCACACCAGTCATCCTGGGAAAAGGCTGATCCTGGGGTAGGAAGATTCTCAGTCAGGAGGGAGGAGGGGATCTTTTTGACTCTTGGCCCTGTGTCAGACATGAGCTTGTGGGTGTCCTGCTCAGGCATGCCAGGCGTTGCCTCAGGGTCAAGGTGAGAACGGGTGGGAGTTCGCGGAAGTCAGCATTACCACACTAAACTTGGCATTCTTGTTCTGAATCATTTGGATCCAGGATAAGCATGGACACTCCTCCCTGCTTGTGTGATTGTAGGCTCCATGTGCCAATTTTTTCAGAGTGAAAAAGCAGACCCCTCCCAAGTAGACTCAAACTATCACTTCTTAGGGGACAGAAAGCTGCTCTGGGCTTTGAGCTGTCAGCTTTCCCAGATTTTTCCCGACAGGGTTCCAAAAATACTGAGGCCCTAAGTGTCAGCTGGGCACCCGCTGCACCTGCCCAGCTGGTCCCTGGGCCCCCACACCCTCGGGTGGCCAGCTCTAGGTGCCTCTGCTGCTGGTACTGTCATGGGATAAGGGAGGCCTTCATTTGATGACTCTTCAAATGACCAGTGTTGGGATGCAAAGCCACTCTCTACCAGCCCACGCTGGGTACTGTGGGTAGACCTGCAGCCCTTCCAGAGCAGAAGAGTGAAACTGCCCAGGGCCTGTGAGCAGCTTCTGTTGAGCAATTGAGGCAAGTGAATCACATGCAGGTCCAGCCTCAAAGTGGGGAAATGGAGCAGAGGCCCCCATGGAAGGAGAGGCATGTGTGTGCTGGCACCTGAGCTGCGGCAGAGCCCAGCACGGGCCTCCCGGTCGTCATCCTGACTGTATGGCCCTGTGGAGGACCCCTGTCTTACTGTATGCATCCTGTGCAAGGGTTTTAGGAGACAGTCATGCACACTGTTATAAAATGATACTAAGGCCTATTTCTGACTTACAACAGGATGGACTTATCTACTTACACCTGCTGACCACTGAAGCCTCTCTGGCTGTAGAGGCTGAACTAGAGAAGGGCATATAACTGATGCAGCCCTGAGCAGTGGACACTGTCCAGGGAAGGGAATCAGGTCATTAGGTTCCCACCTCCATGGTGACAGGCAGCCTCTTCCTTTTTTTTTTTTTTTAAGATTTTATTTATTCATTCATGAGAGACACACAGAGAGGCAGAGACATAGGCAGAGGGAGAAGCAGGCTCCCTGTGGGGAGCCCAATGTGGGACTCGATCCCGGGACCCCAGGCTCACGCCCTGAGCCGAAGGCAGATGCTCAACAGCTGAGCCACCCAGGCGTCCTCGGGCAGCCTCTTCTTAAACAGACATCCGGTTGGCCAGCGGTCTGACCTGTGCTGCAGCCTCTGACAGAGACTGCCATTGCCCCGAGTCTTGACTTGCTCCAACAACACACTTCTGAGGCCACACTAACCCGAGACTCACTTAGTTTCTTTAATCCTCCACACCCAGGAGGCTCCACCAGCAGGGCTGAAGATCCATGAGCCCAGCATTAGGGTTCACCTCCAAGCCCCAGCCCTTGCTTCCTGCCACCCCAAGAGCAGAATCCTGTGGGGCAGCTCATCTCCACACACACCTATGTCCAGTGCCAGTGTCCCCCTCTCTACAGATTTCCCAAGTGAGAGCTGGAGGCCAGGCAGGGACAGAGGTGGAGGGAGAGTGAAAGGGTTCCCAGACCTGTGTCCTCTTCTGTAAACTGGGGGTGACTTGAGTCCCATTACTTCCTAGGTTTACTTTTACTTATACGCAAAACAGTAAACATCCAATGCGTGACCTAATTGTACTGACTAATGTCATTATTTTAAGACTAACATAAACAAACAAATTTCTCCAGGTCATGGCATAAATAGACACAAGGAAGTGACAGGTGCTAAGAGATACCCCAGGCAGGTATATAAGGGCCCCCGGCCCAGGAGGCTCCACACCTGAACCTCTCCCCTCTGCACCTGCTCCTCTGACCTGCTCCACCTCCACCCACCAGAACCATGACCTGCTGTGGCTGCTCCGGGGGCTGTGGCTCCAGCTGCTGTGTGCCTGTCTGCTGCTGCAAGCCCGTGTGCTGCTGTGTGCCGGCCTGTCCCTGCTCTAGCTGTGGGTCCTGCAGGGGCTCCAAGGGGGGCTGTGGGTCCTGCGGGGGCTCCAAGGGGGGCTGTGGGTCCTGTGGGGGCTCCAAGGGGGGCTGTGGGTCCTGCGGGGGCTCTAAGGGGGGCTGTGGGTCCTGTGGGGGCTCCAAGGGGGGCTGTGGGTCCTGTGGGGGCTCCAAGGGGGGCTGTGGGTCATCCTGCTGCAAACCCTGTTGCTCCCAGTCCTGCTGCTGCAAACCCTGCTGCTGTGAGTCCTGCTGCTGCAAACCCTGCTGCTCCCAGTCCTGCTGCTGCAAGCCCTGCTGCTGCCAGTCCAGCTGCTGCAAACCCTGCTGCTCCCAGTCCTGCTGCTGCAAACCCTGCTGCTGTGAGTCCAGCTGCTGCAAACCCTGCTGCTGTGAGTCCAGCTGCTGCAAACCCTGCTGCTGTGAGTCCTGCTGCTGCAAGCCCTGCTGCTCCCAGTCCAGCTGCTGCAAACCTTGCTGCTGTGAGTCTAGCTGCTGCAAGCCCTGCTGCTCCCAGTCCTGCTGCTGCAAACCCTGCTGCTCTCAGTCCAGCTGTTGTGTCCCTGTTTGCTGCCAGTGCAAGGTCTGAGATGGTGCCCAGAGACCCCGTGGCTGGGAGATATGAACCACTGTATTCAAATGTCTCCCACTTCCTTCTACCAGTTTGTCCCAGTTTTGTGTTTAAAACCAAATGCAAGGCATCTTTAAATAAAATCTTTCTCTAAACCCAGAGCCCTGTCTTCTTACTGCTCTTTTATCCTAGCTAACGCTCACAGATATCCTCCAGGAGCACCCCACCCCCCACCCCCGGTGTATCCTGACTGGCCCCTTGGCGAATACTCATGCATACAGGTGAGGTATTAAGGAGCAGGGCAAGTGATACATGGGGGAGCCTTTCCAAAAATAGGCAGGAAGGGGCTAAGGAATGAACATACAAAAGGGAAAAGAAGCGATAGGGACAATGAAACCAGAAGGCCACCATATAACTGATGAGAATCTGAAATGGAGCAAAAATACTTGGGGGGCGGGGGGAGAAATAATTGAGAGAAGTTCTCCCAGAATTAAAGAAATATTTCATTTCAAAAAAAAAAAGGAAAGAAAAAAACCTTAGCTGAAAGGACTGGAGAAGAAAGATGCTGCCTACCATATGTGTCGATAGTGTGCATACATGACAGAGATGAAACTAGGATGTCCCAGGAGGAAAGTCACGGTCCAGGATGAGTGCCAGGTTGGCACCTCGTGGCCCTGGAGCAGGTCTGGAGTGCGAGATCCATGCAGGCGCTGGTATGCACGGCACAGAGGAACACTTGACAGAAAGTTTCATATCCAGACAAAAATACTTGGAAATGTGAGGGTCTAATGTGAAGGTGTCAAGAAATGTTCCCATAAAATAAGGGAGTCAGGAGGGACGCCTGGGTGGCTCAGTGGTTGAGTCTCCCTTCGGCTCAGAACGTGATCCTGGGGTCCAGGGATCGAGTCTCGCATTGGGGACCTCAGAGGGAGCCTGCTTCTCCCTCTGCCTGGGTCTCTGCCTCTCTCTGTCTCTCATGAATAAATAAATGAAATCTTTAAAAAAAAGGGGGGGGGAGTCAGGAGAATTGTCCCATAAAACCCCTCAGTGAAAACACTAAATAATTAAAGAAAAATATCCAGTAGGTACCAGAAAAGATCTGATAAAATGAGATGATCAAATATTTTAGCCAAATGCATTATCTTTAAAAAAAAAAAAAAGCAAAAGCCAAAAATAAATAAATAAATAATAAATAATAAAATAAAGCAAAAGCCAAATAAGAAAAATTCTATTTTTCCATGTTCTGTATGATAGTCATGTGTGGGAATAAAAATGAGAGTTTGTAAAAGCACAGGTTTGGTTAACTTAAACACATAAACATTGTTTCATGTAAATTAAAAGTGAAGCGTAATCACCATAAGAATAAAAACAGACTGTGTACTTGTTAAAGCGGTAGAAAGAAACCTGGTTTATCCAACGGTCTGTGGTAATGAAAAAATCAGAAACAAGAGAAGAATGCAGCTCAGCGGCAGACACGGCGCAGGACAGCAGGAGCAGGTCCTGGTCTGGCAAGGACATCACAAGAGGGTGGATTAACCCAACAGAGGTTATGGGTTAAATTAAAATTAAAAGATCCCAGAAAAGACGATCTACAAGAGACGCGGCGTAGTTGACAGGAACCAGCCGATGTGTCACCCGGGGGACACTCGGGCAGCGGTCTCAGCAACAAGGCATAAGTGGAGCTTCCGAGAGTCAAAGGGTCGGCACACAGAGCACATATTCCGCAACCCCAGGGCAAAAATGTTAAAAATTAAGTCACAAAAGGGGTAGTTAAAATACTATATGTTTATTAAGTTCGGGGTTGAAAGAGGTAATCACAAGTGAAAATATGAAATCATTGAAAGTAACGCTAATTAAACAGTGCACGTTAGAAGGAAGGGCATGCAGAACGCGGAGCCCGTCCTTGCCGGGAAATGTACGGTATCAAATAAATAAATGTGGCATCAAGTAAATCAATCGCAAGTCATGAGACTGGTGACCTGTCTGCTCAACTATTTTCCCCGTTTCGAGTTAGGTTGTTTGTCTCATCGTTGTGAGAGGTTTATACGTATAGATGCATCCTGAACACAATCCTTTACCAGCTCTGTGATTTGCAAATTCTGCCTCCCAATTTGAGGTTTATCTTTTTATTTTCTCAGTGGCGTCTTTGTAACCATAACAAACTTTTAATTTACCCGTGTTTTCTGTTACAGTTTACGCTTTTCGGTGCGTATCTAGGGACTCGCGCCCCGGCCAAGGCTGCAGATACCTTCCCCCCGTGTTTTCTTCTATCAATTTTGCTGTTAGCGCTCACATTTAGGTCCACCTGGCATTAATCTCTGCGACTCGCCGGAGGGAGGGCTCCGGACTTCTTTTGCGTGCGGATATCCAGATGTCCCTGCAGCACTGTTGAAAAGACAATTCTTTCCCTGTTGAATTGCCTTCGTGCTTTTGTCGAACACTCACAGACAATAAATACGAAGGTTGATTTCTGGATCCCCCACCCCCGTCCCACTGCACTCCTGCGTGCGTGTCCTCTGACACCAGCGTGGCCCCATCTCGGCTGCTGTGACTGTGTAGCCAGTTCTGAGATGGGGAAGAGAAAGTCAGTCTCACTTCGTTCTTTCTCAAAATTATTTGTCTGTACAGGGTCTTTTCTATTTCCGTATAAATACTAGGGATGATCTGTGAATTTTTGCACAAAGACCTGCTGGGATGGTGACAGGGTACAAGTCATTTTGGGGATGAACTTCCGTTGTCCAGGAACACGGTGTGTGCTCCATGTGCTGGCCGCCTTGGAGCTGCCAGCCACGCCGGAGACATCAGCCCTCGGGTCTCACACCTCTTGTGCCACAGTTATTCTTAAGTATTTCGTTCTTTTTGCTGCTGTTATGAATGGAACTGGTTTCTTTTTTTTTTAAGATTTATTTATTTATTTGTTCATGATAGACAGAGAGAGAGAGAGAGAGAGAGAGAGAGAGAGAGAGAGAGAGGCAGAGACACAGGCAGAGGGAGAAGCAGGCTCCATGCCAGGAGCCCGACGCGGGACTCGATCCCAGGACTCCAGGATTGCGCCCTGAGCCAAAGGCAGATGCCAAACCTCTGAGCCACCCAGGGATCCCCTGGTTTCTTAATTTTATATTCAGGGTACTCATTGCTAACATAGGGAAATTCAGTTGACTTCGGTCTGGGGACGCCGTACCCTGCAGCTTTGCCAGCCGGGCTGGGTAGCTGTAACAGGTGCATGCACATGTCCTGCTCAGGGCTCTCTGAAGTTCAGGAATCTGTGGTTTGTCATCTTTCACTAATTTGGGGGAAACTGTGGCCATTGTCTCTTCCAGTACTTTTTCTCACACGTGTGCTCTCTTTTCCTCCTGACGCCATAGTCAGGCTTATGCAGGAGTTCTTGCACGCTCAGCTCAGGCAGTTCTCCAGCTGTGCTTCATCTGGGACAACTCTGTGCACCGGGCTTCGGGTGCGAGGCTCTCTCCCTCATCCTGCACGGGTTGCCGGGGATTCCTGCGTCATTTCCACTCAACTGTTTTCTGCGAGTTTTCACTTACCTTCTGGAATTCCTGCCCACTTCTCGCACTGGATCCTGTCGCTGGCCTACAGTGATTGTCAGACGTCTGTGAGAGAGCCTCAACGTGTGTGCGTGTCCTTATGCAGCTGCCTGATGGCAGCTCCTGCCACTCAGTGGTCCTCTGGACCTGTCTCATTGTCACCTCATAAACCATCAGAAGCGCTGGCGCAGTGCGTTATGCACAACAGAGGCAAAGACGCCCTGGGGTCCAGAGTGATCCTACAGGCCCTGTGGCCGGGCCCTCGGGTAGGCTCCACCGGTCTGGCCACAGGGCACACAGGTCCGGGGTGCATCTTCAGCAGTGGTCATGGCCTGGGGCTTCAGAGGGGTCTCCTCAGTGTCCCTGCTGCCACCCCCATTGGTGAGCCGGTTCATGCGTGGACCACGAGAGGGGTGGTTTCCACATTCTTACTGCTCCGTTCACTCATTTATGCAACAAATATTTACTGAGCATCTATTATGTGCCAGGCACTGAGCCTAATATGTCTTTATTCCAGGAAGATGAAGACAGTAAACAACCTGTTTATGCAATCCCGAAACTTCACAAACTATCAATCTATGAGACTCTCCAGCATAAGCTGCAGAGGCCTGTAAGTTCAACAAAGTTCAAAGTCTAAACACTCAAAGCTCAACATCCAGCTTTTAGAAATAAAGAAAAAAACTTGAAGAGCTGGCAATATTTTTGCCTTCTGAGAGATAGCCACCAGAGATGGACACTAAACTTCAGATAAACATGAAACATTCGAAGAAAGCAGCTGCTACTGTTTTATTTGCCGCCATGGCACAGCGATGGGGTGGAGAGTGAATGGACGAGGAACGTCTAAGGGCAGAGACACTACAGTGAGCAAACACCCCATGTGGGATTCAAAACCTCAGACCAACAGATCTTTGTGCACTGTGTATAAAAAATGTGTGACATCCCTGACTCATAAGCTAAAAATCGTGGAGTGCTTATAGGGAATTCCTAAGAGAACAACTAAAATAATTTAGTAAAAATTATTTTTATTTAATTTTTATTTGAAAAAATTAGTAAAAAAAATATTAAGAGCCTACTCTCTCCCCAAATTTATTTATCTTTTTTTAAAGATTCTATTTATTTATTCATGAGAGACACAGAGAGAGAGGCAGAGACACGGGCAGAAGGAGAAGCGGGCTCCACATAGGGAACCCAATGCAGGACTCAATCCCAGGACCCCAGGATCATGCCCTGAGCCGAAGGCACATCCTCAACCACTGAGCCGCGCAGGTGCCCCTCCCCAAATTTAAATAGCGAGAAACACCTTGTTCTGCACTTGGAAAGACTTTATACTTGAGTTCTGCAACCATGAATCTATAAATTTAATTCTGTCCAAGTTAAAATAAAGGACAATTTCCATGTCACCAAGTTACCCTCAGAGTCTTTTTGAAGAGTGTGTCTGCGTCTGCTCTCATTGAAGATGCTACAGTTTTGAAAGCAAAAGAAAAAGAAGGTGTAAAAAAAAGAAGGTGTAACGGAATGATTCTCCAAACAGACATGAGCACAAAGGATGGTGGCCCATGGGTCAGGCAGCAAGTGCACAGACTCAGAGTCAAATTCGAGCAAGGCCACGTGGAACTGGG